TACTGCACATATCATAGTGTTTAGTGCAGTGCCACCAGCAGCGATGAGCAGCATCTTATTAGGTGTAATGATAAAGCATTTTAAAACTATCATTTTACTGAAATCTCCCTTTGGATAAAACATTGCCTGGCAGCCATTTTTCATTCTCCGACTATTCAGACTGTGACACTTTAATGGAAAAAAGATACCACCTGGAATACTTATTAGCTTAAAAGTACTCGCCTGGGAGCCTAAGAAGAGTCACTGTGTCTCAAGGGCTCCTGAGTGGTTTAACTCCAGAGCCTAATGCTTTTTTCTTGAGGGCCTGGAGTAGCCTGCCACTAGGGGATGCTGTTGCTTCTTTGCTCCAATTCCTGGCAGGTTCAATTCTGACCACATCGGTCTCAATGCAAGAGAGAAAAGAGGCTTTTACCCTTCCTAAGTGAGTTTGTTTCTCTTAAGCCTCCAAAGTCAGCTGCATCTGTTGGAAAAATTCAGAACAAAAAGAAATGGCTAATAAATGAAATAGCCTTGTAAAAACGTTTTCAAATATCTTCTTGTGGTGACCAGAACAGCATCCTGATATCATAGTGGCCTAAAAGTTTCACTGGGGCTGTGGATGTTAGCAGTTTTTGAGGTGCTCCTGAGGGAAGTCAGTGCAAGTGGGGAAAAGCTGATGGGTTATAGAGATGAGGAGATGTTTGTGTCCATGCTGACCCTTCCCCAGTCTGGCAGAGATCTGCTTTGCCCCTCTGCTGATTCAGTTTTGGGTCAGACATCATTTGCCAAGGCATGTCAGTGTACCCATTTTGTTAGAAATGCAAGTTCTGATGTTGTATGAACTTGGAAAATCCTGGGTTGGAAAGGTTAAAAAAGTACTATTGGTGTGGAACATTCAGAACATTTACTTTTCACTGTGCAGAATTTAAGGCTGGGTATGTTCATCAAGAGTCGGGTGGTTTGCCCCCATTTGGCAATGTCTGGAGACAGTTTTGATTGTCATGACTGGAGAAGGGCCTTTTGGCATCTTGTGGGTAGAGACCAAGGATTCTTCTTCTTTTTCTTCTTCTTTTTTTGTACTAGGGATTGAACCTAGGGGTGCTTAACCACTGAGCAACATCCCCAGCCCTTTTATATGCTTAATTACAGACAGGGCCTCTCTGAATTGCTTAGGGCCTTGCTAAATTGCTGAGGCTAGGTTTGAACTCTCCATCCTCCTGTGTTAGCCTCCAAGTCCCTGAGATTACAGGCATGCACCCTCACACCCAGTGAGACCAAGGATTCTAAGCATCCTCCAAAGCATAGGATAGCCCCTCTACTCAAAAAAGAATCATCAGGCTCAAAGGATCAACAGTTTAGAAGTTGACAAACCCTACTCTATTTTATACACACTCCCTTAATTAACAACGCTTTTTTTTTTTTTTTTTTTTTTTTTGGTGTCTTGCAGCACTAGAATCCTGTGGAATATAGACAGGAAAACTCTGCCCTAAGATTACTCACAATGGTCTAATTGCAGAGTGGTGTGGCCGTCTCTTAATACTAATTTCCTTTGACTTCCATTTGTCATTGTTGCCTGTCATCTCTTTGAAATTCTCCTGAATTGGTTTGATGTTGCATGGTTTCTCCTGTAATCTTGTTTTCTCTTTTTTGACTTCTCTTCTTGTTCGCTGAATGGTGTGTTTCTTGTAGTTGCATACTTTATTGTGATCCATCTTTGGAAGACTCATTTAATACATGATTTCTGTTATATATATATATATATATATATTTTGGGGGGCTACCAGGGATTGAACTCAGGGGCACTCGACTACTAAGCCACATCCCAAGCCCCTATTTTGTATTTTACTTACACAGTGTCACTGAGTTGCTTAGTGCAACTGGCTTTGAACTCGTGATCCTTCTATCTCAGCCTCTTGAGCCACTGGAATTATAGTCGTGTGCCGTGGTGCCCAGCTTGATTTCTGTTTTGTGAATCGGTATCAGTGACTCCACTTATATTCTGTGGATAGCCATGTAGGTGGAACCCATGTCTTCCCAAAGAGATCTACATTTTCAATTATATGTTGGATGATATCTCCAAGTAAAAAGTGTTTCTTCTCTAAAACTCTTTATCCTTTGACTCATTCTTAAATTCTTCCAATTTTATTAGTTACAGAGACTTGAAAATCAGACTTGAAACCATGTTTAATCACTAAGCTTGTGAATTTGTGAATTCTCCCTCCCTCCCCCCTTTTTTTTTGGTGTCAGGGGTTGAACCTGGGGGCACTTAACCACTGAGCTACATTCCCACTGCCCCACCCCCTCTTTTTTTGAGACAGGGTCCCACAGAGTTGCATAGGGCCTTTCTAAATTGCTGAGGCTGGCTTTGAACTTGTGATCCTCCTGCCTCACTTTCTGAGCTGCTGCGATTACAGAGGTGCACTACCATACCTGGCTCCTTCTGGTCTTTTTGTCTATCTCTTCTTAAATGAGACTTTGATTGCCCCTTCTCTGAATTATAGAAATGAATTCCAAGTCATGTGTTCTGTTCCCATTACCACTGTGGCAATCCTTCTAATACAAGCTTTGATTCTTTCTTAAAAATGTATAGTGGGTGAGTTCCCATTGACTGTTGACTAAAGTCTGTATCTCTTATGCTGAAAATCATTCCAGAACATTTAAACCTCTGTTCTAATGGCTCCTCTGTTGAGGTTCCAGTCAGGAGAAATGCTCAAGTAAGGTCAAAGCTTTGGAGAATGGAATGTGCAAGGTACACGGAGAAAGCAAGTGTTTATAAAACATTTAGAATGAAATAATCTCTGATCAACCAGCAGGGAACATTTAAAGTCCTAAATTATCATAGATGCATTGGAATCATTTTCCAGATTAAGCATTATCTAGAAATGTGAGGATATGGTCCTTTATAGCATATAAAGAATAAAAGTAAAGAAGGATATAGCCCAAGGCTTCCATTGATTACAGCTCGTAGCCTATCACATATCTTCAGTAAATATCTGTTGAATTAATGGATGAGCACATGAATGAATGAAAAACTATGGTAGCAGAGGCTGTTAGTGTTCTGCTAGTACCCCTCCGCACTCACTTCTACATGACGACATCAAACACTGCAATCACTTGCCAATCTCTACTTCAGGGTCTTTTTTCTCCTTTCTGGCTGGAGTTGTGTGCTAGGAGCCGGAAGTGCTAAAGAGTCTGTGAGTTGAGAAGTGGAGAAGCCGCCTTCACCAATAATAGAGAGGGTGTCGGTGGACAAATATCCCAGTTTCCTCCATCCTTTAATTAGGCTAACTCTGTGACTTGCTCTGTAATATCTCCTATAGCTCCTCACTGGGACTGAGCTCCAGTTGACCACAGTGGTCACTTGCTTGAGGAAGTACTCTTTATTGACTTTCTTTCCTTCCCAATCTCACTTCCCCAACCCCAGCAGAGCTTCTAGGATTATCTCTTAAAACAAAAACAAACAAACAAAAAAACCCACTGGTGATTGATTTCTTGTCTCTGAATCTACGAAACTGAGACAGTTACTGAATGTGGAATTGGACACTGAGGAGTCTATGACATTTGGCATAATGGGATAAAAATTGCATTTGAATAAAATATATTTCTTCAGGAGCCAGGGACTATCTGTGACAAAATTTTCTTTATACCAATCATTAGATATTGGAGCAAAAGATACAGAAGTTTTTCTCTGGAGCTCCCCTTCCCCATTATTTTGAGATTATTGCATAGAGGATGAAAAACTCATTAAAACTGGAAAACATTCACTAATAAAATGTTATTGTGATATATACTTTTAGTGAATATTATAATAGTATAATACTTATGATATGCTCAACTCAGATTTTCTTTTCTACTTAACATTTCAGTCTATCTTACCTATCATGCCCAAGTGGTTTGCATATTTTGCTATATGTATTTGGCCAAACCACACACATGAAGCTACAGTTTAATAAGAACCTGAAATAAGAAATCTTGTATAAAATCTTTCATAAATTTTACAAAAGCACTGTTGGAGAACTGCTAGAACCAAAGTAACAATGAGATAAACAAGATCATCATGAACAAATGAAGATCTGCAAGAAGACCAGGCAACAACTGATTAAGAGAAAATGGAGAAGGATGATGACCTTGAAAAGAACCTTCACGCAGAGGGATCTACATGTCAAAACACTGAGGGTAGTTCTTGAAAAGTGATGCCCTCAGATATATTTGCAAAAACTTATATTCTTTGCAATTATTTTACAAAAGTTAAACATGAAAGCATGGATATTGTGCAATGTTAAGCTATATTGTGTTTTGGAAAAAAAAATCATTACAGAGCATTTCATTTACATTTTTAAGTGACAGAAGTACATTTAGATTTACTGTAGTTTGTGTGTGTTCCCAGGAGGTCATATGTTGGATAATTAATTTCCACAGGCATATGTCAATGATATTTGGACATTGGGAAGGTAATTAGGATTAGATGGGGGTCTTGAGGGTGAGAAAGAGAGACTAAAGCTAGCATGATTGTTTTGTTTTACTGTGTGATTCCCTCTGTCAAGTTATGATGCTGCAAGAAGGCCCTCACCAGATACTGGGGCCATACTTTTGATATTTTCAGCCTTCAGGACTGTAAGCCATAAACTTCTATTTTTTATAAATGACCCAGTCTCAGGTATTGTGTTATAGCAACAGAAAATGGAGGAAGACAAGATCATTTCTATTACAAAGTGTTTAATCTCAAAGTTTAGTTTATAACACCTTTGAGAGAATCATGAAAACATCTGCTCAGTTCAGTACATTGAAACAGGAAGGAGGCTTATCCCTTGCCTTACATAGAATCTCCTTGGAATGAAAGTCATTTAAATATTGAACTGAGAACATTTGCTATCTTTCCTGATTTACAGATATGTTTCTCTGAAACTTATCTCTAACTTCCAAACAGTCCCAGCTGGCTGTAGTTAAGGTCTGTGAAACTGATAAAATACATCTGGCTTCAAGTCATAGATTAAGTACAGAAGGAGGCTCTTCATGTCTCTGAAGAATCTAGCTGGAGTATGAGCTATGTCTGAGAACCACTTGGTTTATAAATAAGTGCCAAGATAATCCAGAACAGGGAGAAGCAGAGCGCAGATAGTCTGCTGGACTCCTCCTGCCGTTGAAAAGTACCCTTAGAGAGGAAAACTTTTCCCTCTCTTCTGCCTTGAAAGTTTTCCCAAACATGAAGGTAAGATAATACGTTTATTACTTTTACAAATGAAGCTATCTCAAAAGAAAGGTAATTCTTAACTTAAAGAAACCAAAGAAAGAGAAAGACTTGGAAAAATATAGAAGACAAAGATCTGAGAGTGACTTTAAAAAAAATCCTTATTTAAATATATTTTGAATAGTTCAGCTAAAGTGAATTAATTTTCTTTTTTTACAGTTAATTATAGGTTTAGAGGGCTGGGAAGAGGGAGTTGGAGACACTGTTTATGAAAGTCCTGGGAAAGCCATAATGTAATACAATAGTACTACTGTTACCTCTTAGGGAAAGTTTTTCTCCAGTTTATCTGTCTGTTTTAATTTGGAGCCATGCAATGGGGACCTGATTTGCAGATTTGGAACCTTAGAATTTGGAGTCCTGGATGAAAGGGTTAGGATTGTGAGAGTAGAATATATGAATGGAAGATGGAATGAAACTAAAAGTTTGCCAAATACACACGTTGGACCAATGCAGAATGGACAAACGTTTTTAAAAAATTACTATTCAACCAAAGGCAGGACCAAAGACATAAGACTCTATTATAGACTGAATTTCTGGGATTCAAAATAAGTTGAAATTGCTAGTTCAATTTTATCACAAATTTTGGCATTTAAACTTTCAAGTTGTTGCCTCATCGCACTGGAACAATAGTTTTGCAGACCTGGCAACTTCTGGATTTGCTTCTTTGTTAACTACGGTCCTCTGTGTACTGAATCCAAGCTCACTTAAATAGGATTGGAGGAGGAGAAATATACAGGTCTTGTATAACCTTTGCCTCATGTACAATTAAATAATTAAAAGTTAAACATAAATCACAAAGTTAATTTGTTTAATTTTATGATGCTACGGCACCAAGTAATCTAACAAGTTTAGAACTGTGAGATAATTTAATCTCTATTACTCTGTCTTGCATTTTTATTTAAAAATTTAGAGCATTTGTTAGCTCAAAAAGAATATTACGCTTTTGCTAAAGTCTTCTAATATGTTTTTTCCTAATATTTGTATTAAGTGTCAATCAATTCCCTAATTTTTCCTATGATGAGACATCTTAATGATTGTTTTATGCTCAACAATGTAGTTCACAGTCATTGATTATTACAGAATTTTAATGTTGTGATAATAAATATATTTTAATTCTTTAATTGGTTGATAGAATATCAACAATTAATGCAATGGTTTCACTTCAAGTTGCATGCAAAATTTCTACCTGGATTTGAAAGCAGATAGTCATATTTTTATAGTAAACCTGAAGGGAAACTTGGGAAAGCCTAAACTGTTAAGACATTAGAAATGGTTTCCATGTTTGACCTTTTTAGTATTTTTTTAATTGTAGATGGACCCAATATTTATTTATTTATTTATTTTTATGTGGTGCTGAGGATCAAACCCAATGCCTCACACATGCCAGAGGAGTGTGAATCCATCTAATGGAATATTAATTTTTTTGATTATACCTGTTTTGGCTGCTGAGTGTCAAAAGCCAAGAACAATAAACATTTAGGGCTCTCACATTTTAAGGTGTAGGATGTTTTACATTCTGTGCACTACTGTAAAAAAGTAACCCCAAATGTGTCTGGTGACCTTCATGCCATCTCCATTCTCAATAGTACACAGGATTTTGTTCCTTAAAGGGTGGAAGATGTAGGAATGGTATTCTATACACACTTGGGAAATTGAAAGTCAGCGTTGAGCAGAGTCAATCACCTTGGCTGCAGAGGCTACAGCTTGAGTATTCAGAGTTTGGTAGGACAAAGATGAGCAGGTATCCCCTGGATCATAAGTGGATCTGAGAAGGGAGTCAAGTATGGGTTGTTAGGGATTCTGCTTGAGATGTTGACCACCTGCAGTACGAAGCAACCCCAACAATGGCATAGTGTGGAAAGGACTGTAGGGGGCAGGCAGTGATGACAGTCAGGAATGAGGAACAAAGAGATGAGTCATTTGTGCCAGGGAGGTGGTTGTGGATGCCTGGTAGGGAGTCCACAGTGAAGAGGAAGAATTGGCATCTAAACATCTGACAACCCTGATTTACCATCCTGGACTCCAATGGGATCAGTCAAGCAAGATCCTTTCTGACCCTTTTCCCTCTCACTCCTGATGCTCTGTCCTTGAAGAAGACAGAGAGAGGAAGGGTAAGTGGGGAAGTAAAGTAAGAGGTAGGAATTTTGACGTGCACCTTACCACTCCCCCATTATGTGTACCTAGGAGATAGGAAGGAGTGAGGAATTTTAAACTAATGATAAATTGAAGTTAGAATTTTTAATTTCTGAAAATGTGACTATTTGTTAATGCTTAAGAGTGGTAAATAAAATACGAATGTGTTTTCCCAGGGGCAGGAAAAAATAAGTTGACAGCACAGAGAAAAGGCACATTTTTGAAAAAGGAAAACAAAAACAAAAACAAAAACCATGCAGGTCATAATTAAAAAAAAAAAAACTTAATGATTATATGCCTCACATGTTTGTTGAAAAATCAGAAAAGTATTTATAACTTCTTTACTCTTTCCTAGATACATTTCCTAGATACAGCTCCTTGATACATTTCTACCTTCCTGAAGGTGCTAGTTAGGATAATAGAAAGATTTGTAGAGCTATAAAAGCTAGAAATAGGCAAGTAGGATTTTTACAACTGAAAGGAAGATACCTAATTAGAGGATGGATGATTTGGGAAGGCTAGTGGAAGATTCTGGAAAAATTGTTGGGAAAACACTCCATCGATACATGTGGGATAAGCAATTTTAAGAACTTTTACACTGAGTTATGAGGTGAATGTATTTGATATACTTAGAGAATCACTTGTAAAAAAATGAATTATACTCACCACCTCAACCTTTAAGTTTTCAGTAAAAGGAAAATACATATAACTGAAAATAAGATAATGGAAATGATCTATAATTTTACAACCAGAAATAAACTTTTATTGTTCTATTTTTTTCTAGATTTAGTTTTTCTTTAATGTGCTTGATTTTTCAAATGAAATGTAATCCCATTTTACATACATTTTTGTAACTTGTCAGGTCCTCAATATTTAGATTGTGCTATCCCATAAAGATGATGATAACAGGCCTCAGGAGTGTTTTAAACACAGAGGGAGCTGCCCACAGAACTAAAGCTGAGAACCGCCCCCTGCCTGAGGCTGTCCCTCAACTTTTGCTTACTCATTCCCAGAGCTCATTTCCCTATTAACTTCACAGCCATCATCACTGATGCTTCTTCCAAATTTTCTCCCCTCGGGTGTCCTCTAGGATGCTAAAGTTAGAGATGAGGAAGTGGAGAAAGGAATTAAAAGATGGTGGGCCCTAAGGAAATGCTGGAGGCCCTTTAACTCTACTATTTTCCATTTGTCTGTCTGTGGTACAGCCCAGACCCTAGTTGTCTTTACAGAAATGAACAGTGGGAGGTGTGGCCCAGAGAATTACATCAATTTTTACCCTAAAATTATTTATTTTACAAATTAAGTAAATATTGTATATATCTGTCTCATCATCTTTTAAAATAGGTCCACGTTGTGGAATGGCTCAGTTGAGCTAATGAATATCTATGTATCATCTCACATACTTACATTTTGGTGAGAACACTTAAAATCTACTCTCTTGATAATTATCAAGAACGCAATACATTGCTATTAACTATAGTCACCATGTTGTACACCAGATTTCTTGAACTTATTTTTCTTATCTAATCGAAATTTCATATCCTTTTACCACAGTCTCCCCCAACAACCCTCCCACCCGCCCCACCTTCTCAGCCCTGATGATTCTTTCTACTTCTATGAATTCAATATTTTTAGATTGTTAAGTGTGACATTTACCTTTTTGTGCTTGGCTTATTTCATTTAATGCAATGACCTCTAGGATCATCTCTTGTTGCAAATGGCAGGTTTTCCTTCTTTTTTTTTTTTTTTTTTAAGATTTTATTCCATTGCACATAGTTTGAGAGCAATACACACACACACACACACACACACACGCCATATTTTTTTCTCCCTCCCTCCTTCCTTCCTCCCTCCCTCCCTCTCTCTCTCTCTCTTCCTCTCTCTCTCTCTCTCTCTCTCTCTCTCTCTCTCTCTTTCTTTCTGTCTTAGTGCCCATGGAACTCAGGGCCTCACAATACTAGGAAAGCACTCCATCATTGACCTGTACTCCCACCCCTCATATCACATTTTCTTTATCTATTCATCCAATGATGGACCTTAGGGTGATTTCATGTCTTTCCTATTAAGAATAATACTGCAGTGAACATGGTATACAGGTATCTCTTTGGCATACTGATTTTATTTTCTTCGGATTTATACCCAACAATGGGATTACTGGATCATATGGCAGTTCTGCTTTTTAAATTTTTTTGAAGAAACTACAAATTTCTATTTAAAATGGAACCTTAAAGGAAAAGCAGTTATTTAGCTTTTTACATTGTTCTTTCACTCTTTGTACTCCAAACCCAGAGATCTGGCTTTATATGAATGTCTTGGTTTTCAACTCATTAATGAAATGAAATCTAAAGTGATACTTTATTCTTTTTCTTCTCCAGACAATAAGCTTATTCATTTTTGTGGGATTTATAGGAGAGTTCCAAGTTTTTTCAAGGTAAGAATTATTTGGATTGTGTGTGAAAATCATTAAAAAATATTAAGGAAATTTTTTTAGTGTGGTCTAATTCTTAAGTTGCAGCTTGAGAGTATTTATTCCTACAACATGTTTTTTTGGTCTGTCTTATTTTTAGAAAAATTGATGGTATCAAAAGAGTGTTTTATTATTCTTTTACTTTATTTTTTTTTCCCTGTAAGTAAGAAACTTAAAGACTAAAACACCTCAAAGGTTTTGTCCTGGTACCACGATTTTACCTGTGACTCAGAGAATCCCAGCAGATTCACACATCCTAGAGTACTATGTGATCTTTAAGTGTAATCCTTGCAAAACATTTTATGGATTTTAAAGGTTGAGAGTTTTCTTAGAAAATGGTTTTATCATCTCTTAGGACCTGGAAAAGCAAACATCATCCACCTCTGACTTTTTTTTTTTTTTTTGTTTTTACTTTCAGGGTGATGGGGACAGGTCAGGTCATTTTATGGAACAATTAGAATATGTGTCAGGGCTGTGCTAGGACCTGGGGATGCTGAGAAGTTAGAAGACCCTTAGTGTCTACTGGATGACTCAGATCCTGAGATGGTTCTTTGCAATGTGAGTGTACTAAGGGCCCTGCACAGGATGATGTAGGGAAGTCCAAACTAGCTTTCAGTCCTAAATCTCTGAATTTGGGGAACACCTCTGCTTTTCACTGGGACACAAAATAGACAACAGTAAGTTCAGATTGTTTAAGGGTCAAATATACTCAGTTATTGATGCCATGTGAAAACTGGTTACCAAGGTTGGTTCCATAAAAGAACTTGAGGTGCATATATTAGAGAAAGGGATTGATTATTTTCAGGGTAATCAACAGTCTTAAGGTATGCAAACATCACCTTGATTCAAATGTTTTTTTCCAACAATTCCTAGATGTGCTAGGAATTCAGAAGCCAAAAATCCTGGTCCCTTTATCTTTTGGCAAGTCAATTTTTTAGGACTAATCCAATATCCTCCTTCATAGAGTTGAGCAGTGTATGAGAGCCAACTCTCCGTTTCCTGCATGTACTTTATTTGAGTGGAATTGTTTAAGCTCAAATTGCTGCACTTGGGCATGTGCTTGAAGAGTAGCCTAAATGAGCATGGTAATGTTTAAATATAAATCACTGTCACTTTAGCCTTTGCTAGCTTTTTTTTTTTTTTTTTATTAACTTTTTTTTATTATTAATGTAACAAATAATTTCTTCCACAATGGCAACTGTGGTAAAAAATGCCAACATCAGCCAACCTGCCAACATATCCTATGGTCTTTTAATTAATATAGTGCATAGACAGTTATAAACTACACAACCATACCAATTTATAAGCAATAATTTTGAAATGTTAGAATATAATAAAGTTACACTGCAAATAGTTTATTTTCCTCACATTTTTTCATATTCACATGACCCACATTTTTTTTTTAATCAGACTCCATTAAATTCTAGATTTAAATAGAACTAAGCATAAAACAAAATAGCTCTTATCAGTGTCTAAGCCACTTAAAGCTATTCTCTAAAAAATAAGTTATTCAACCCAAGGCAAACATGGAGAAAGTTGGAGCTGAAGCTTTGGTTCCCCATAGTTTGATCTGTTAAACCCATGGGAACTTTCAAGATTCAGTTTTTTAGTAGCTTCATGCCATAAAGGTAACTGTCACTAGTGGAATGTCCATTAGCCAAAGAAAGACCCCCAGACACATTCGACAGGGTGTTCAACCTGCAGAAAATGGGGAGTTTGGAGTGGTATGCAATCAGATTAACACGTTTTTAATCCTTAGTCAAACATAAATATTATACCTAAATAACAATCTCGAAGGAGCTTGAAACTTAAATCATGAACTAACTAACCCTGAAGAACGTAAAGGTTCTATTCGGAATGGAAATGATAACCACTTGGCCAGTTTTCTGCAGTGAATCACAGACTGACATCATGCAGTCAGTTCAGAGACTGCAGTGCTCCTCCCTGAGGCTGTAACAGTTAGGCCATTACCTGACATGTGCTTCAGGACACCCAGTGATAACAAAACAGGTCAGTCCTATGACACACAGGGTTAGGTCTTGTAACTCTGAAGTGTTAGGTAAAACCAATGTTGGGTTTTCCTCATAACTTTTCCTTAAATCCTTTTATTTTCATGAGTAAATCCAGGCCTACTTTGGGCTCTCCATGTTAAGCCTGTGGAAGCTGAAGCTGCGGCTGCTGCTCCATGGCTCTTTTTCTACATTATGGTCCTATTTCTGCTAAATTGTCCTTCAAGTCTTAGTCAATTTTAGTTTTCTAAAAACTCTTATTTTTAGAATACTGAGACTATCAGTAAATTTAAATTAAAAAATTTTTCAATCTTATTTTTCAAATACAACAGAATTCTGATATCTGATGCTGGGTGATTTCTGTTCACTTAGTATCAATGTTGTAAAGAGGTTCAACTGAACTTTTATTTAATGAGGTGAGTTTCAACTCTAAAAATGGTAAATTAACCTTTTTTTTTTTTTGTGGGAATCTAAAGTGTAACCCTTAGGAGATTATCTTTAAGTTAAAAACACAAAATTAGGCCGATGATGATTAAATACAATGTTAACAAGTACATTGAGCAATAAACTGAAACTTTTTCATTTAACTGACATCTGCTAGTTTTTTATTAAGTATAAAGGCCAGTTAATCAATTCATTAGATTGGTCAAGGCAAGACACCTGAACTACACAACAGAATTTAAAAAGCAGTTGGTTTTGTAGTAGTTCTCTGGTAATCACACACACACACACACACATACAAACAAATTGGTAGAGTACTCTGGATATTAGATTCCCCCATAATCTTGTATAATGCACTGTTCACAATCTGCAGTTTTTTGATAACGATATAAATTGGACATGACCAAATTAGAGATGACTGATAAACTCTTTTGGGAACTTTAGCTGTATTCCCCCAAAGATTGACTTTAAACTAAAAAAAAAAAAAATCATATAAAAACACAAGATTTAACAGACACTTTGAAAAGAATCAAATTATAACTCAACTGTCTACTTTTTAAATATGACTAAGAAAAAAGTTTTAAGTAGTAATGTCTACATTTAAAAAAATGACAAACTATTAACTGGGTGAATCTGGGTTGGGGGAAAGCTATACAGTATTATTGCACTCCACGAATGTGCAGAATTCCAGAACGTGCCAGCACAGAAAAACTATTTTGCATTGAGGTTTTCCAAGAGGTACAACGAGCCTGCCAAAAAAGCATCTGGTCTGTACTAACAGCTGGCTGTCTTCAGTACAGGCCTTCATAGTGTCAGTCACGCTGCTCTTGCAAAGATCCCTTAATGTAAAAGAGTTTTCAGTGCTGATAGGTGGGGCTATGATCGATGATGCGGAATTGAATCCATGTGCACATTGAGTTTCATTTCATTGTCAAGAATTTGAACAAGTTGTTGCATGGATGGAAGATGACCAGATTCCAGCTTAGACCATACAGGCACGTCATTTAAAGTTATCTCAAATGCACCTGTTGACATACACTGGTTCTCAATCATGTTGCTTAAGAAGAAAACCATCATACATGCATAGACCTTATTCTCCTGGCCCCACTGCCATATGCTAGGAGCTTGCATGCCAAAGAAAGCAAAAGGGTCCTTGCCAACAATGATCAAGCCTATTAATACGAGTTTGAAGATTGACAGGAAAGAGGCTATGTGTCTATAAATTGGTTGAGGGAGGTAATTCTCTCCTTCGATTCGGATGTCTGGGTACCGCTGACTAATAACCCGCATGTACTCCTCAAACACCCGCCTGTAACCTCAGGAAACACAAATCTGGAACTTGAGCAGCGGCCCCGTAGCGTACTGCATCTTTAACCTCTTGCTGGGCACGCCGCCCAGGTTGGCCGAGGCCTCGCTCCGGGCCACCGCCGACGCCGCCACCAGGAGAAGCAGCAGAAGCCTCATCTTACTCGAGACTGCCGCTGCGGCCGCCTTCAGACTGAGACTGCGGCCGCCCAGAGCCTTGCCGCTGGCCCTTTGCTAGCTTTTAAGAGACTGTTTCTCATAGGGTCTTATTAGAGCTAATTATTTCTCAGTTAAGTTTTTGGATAACTCTTCAACTCATTATGCAGAACCCTCTCAAAAACCTATTAACTTCCTCCTGTATATTCTCATCTACCCTCCCAGTTCTGAGCATTCTTTTCTCTCTGTATTTCCATAACACAGAGATATTATTATAACATCTCTGCTATCATATCTACTAGATTAGATCTGTTGTCCTATGATTGAACATTTGTATCTGTATCCTTCCCTCTGTCAACAATGAGCTACCTCTTTTATTATTTTTACAACTTTGGTGTCTTAATAGTACCTCACATACAGTAGATGTTTAATAAATGTCATTTTCTAATAAGCCCATTTTTTATGCTTTAGAATACTCTTAATATTCCTTAGGAAAAAATATTTTTTGAAGTGTTTTTGATTATTCTTACCTATTCTTTGTGTTCCCTGGCTTATCTTCTTGTGTTTTATCATGGATATTTTGAAACTACCACAAGTGCCTCTTCTCCAGTCAACTGCCAGTGGGATTCCTATGGCCCTTGGTCAGAATGCAGTGGCTGTACCAAGACTCAGGTAGGACAACACTAAACTTTGTATTTGGTTACTTATATGCAGAAACAGCTTAAGTATGGCCAAAATGACATGAAATTTTAATCTTCATAAAATTAGTGCTAGTGTTTTTTGATAATTATTTTAGTAGTTTTGAAGGGAAAAAGTATGACTTAAGTTTAATGATATTATAAAAAAGTAATTTCTACATTTGTTTTTCATGAAGAAAAATCTTTCTAGATCTTGTCTGTGGCAAGAAAGCTTATGGGCTAAAAATTAAAAGCAACTCACTAACTTAGTTAGAGAAATAGAAATAGCATGAAATGAAATTAGTATATAATCTAAAATCTGTTTCATTTCCGTCATTTCAACTTTTCTTCTTATTTTAAACACAAACTAGCAAATAACAAAATGATTGCTTTGTTTTACTTCACAAATAATGACCAACCATAAAAAAATCATTTTTTTTGCAATATTTTAAAGTTTAATTCCCAAAGAGTACAAATAAAATACTAGAATTGACCTGGATATTATATAGTCACTCTAAAGATATGTTTTGTTTTCTTTTATAAGACATTCATTGAAGAAAATACAGAGATGTGTAAGGAAAGAAAACAGTATTCATAATTTCACTATTTAGGAGAAACATATATCAGTATTTGAGTATTTACTTTAGCTTAATTTCCATGTGTTTGTAATTTTTAAAAAATAGGATTATCTCATCAGAGTATTTTTGTATTATACCACTTTAACCTAACATACTGTCAACAAGGTACAAGAATAATGAGGCAAAAGTCAAAGAAACACCGAGAACATGAAACATTTTTATAATTTAAAAACAAGAAAGAACTCTAAGTAGACAGAGTATTTTTTTTCTTTGAGTGAAGGTCATCATGCAATGATTATAAAGCAACATTTTTTTTATTCAGAAAGAGACAAGTGGAAAATGAAAAAGGGGTCATAAGACCAGAACCTGACAGGTGAGAATGAGCCTGTTCAGAGTGGGTGGCGTTTGGGGCACCCTCGTGGATGGAGAGAGCAAACACTCCTTATACAAACAACAGGATCCGTGCTTTGGAACCTCAGGAAAGGAGCCTTTGAAGAATCAATCAAAAACAGAAACTAAAAATGTATCAAGCTGCTTTGTTAAGTTCCACTCCTCTTTCATGGTTCCTCTGATTAGATCACTGAAAAAAGCCAGAGTCAGCTCCAACTGATGCAAATTTATTCAGAACTCAAAGTTCACGATGCTTGTACCAAGGAATCCCCACTTGTAGCCTAAGTCAGGGAGGATGGATAAATTCAAAGTTGGTTTATGTACCCAGTCTTCCCTGTTGGTCTTCGCTCAAGGTGTAAGTATTCTGAAAGTGATGTTTGGCTAGTTTTTTATTAATGGAGGAAGGGTGAAGAAGGGAGAAATGCTAAAAGATACATCTCTGTTTCTGGTGGGTAGGGAAATGATTTTGTAGATCTTTTTTGGGGTGAGGGGACAGTGGTACTCAGGATTGAACTCAGGGGCATTCCACCAGTGCTGTGAGGGGGCAAAATTGCAACGTATGTAGTTGAGGGGAGAAATAATGAATGTCCATATACACTTCTGCCCCTTTCAATGCTTTATTCTCTCAAATTACTCAATACAGTTTCACTCTACAGGTTCTTAATCAAGAAAACGACAATCCTTAATACTAGGCACTGCAATAGACATAATCAATTCACAGCAAACAATTCTAGATTAATTAATTCACAGCAAACAATTCTAGATTAATTCTAAGCCCTGCAAAACACACTTAATCATGACAGGCTAATGACAGACATCCCCTCTGCGTGCTAAGTTCAAAAGTCTTAAGCCTTAAGCTTCATGTCCGGCAGATGCACACTTACTCAGACGGTGGTGAACAGGTCCTGAACCAAGGCAGGCTTTTCCTGGTGTGGAGCGGAAGACCAGTTGAAGAGGAGATCATAGGGAGGAGTTGTGGCTCTCACAGATCCCTCAGAGGTTCAGGAACCATGACAATTGATGGGATGTCAGGTCCTCATCAGGCTCTCCAGCTGGAGCGCATCCTTGTTTCGGCTGGCTGAATCCCTGTTCATTTGCTCTATCATTTATACTAAATTTTGGGGGGTTTTGACCCCGCCTTTCAATCCTTATCAGCTACCGCCAGATTTCTCAGTGACATCATTTACCCTGAGGTCATGAACATCAGGTCTGGTGGTCTCCACCCTGATCTTCTCACCTCTTATCAGGTGAGGACAACTTGCCAGAGACTTCACTCTCTTTATCAGGGTGAGGGGAAGTAACTTGTCTGAGGCCATACTGGAGGGATCTGTGGATGTGCCTGGTGAGACTGCAGGTTTCAAACTGGAATTTTTAAAATGGAGTTGCTTAGGCTCAGGCCTAAGGCCATCCTAACAACAAGTAAGCCACATCCCAGTCCTATTTTGTATTTTATTTAGAAATAGGGTCTCACTGAGTTGCTTAGCCCGTTGCTTTTGCTGAGGCTGGCTTTGAACTTGGGATTCTCCTGCTTCAGCCTCCCTAGCCACTGGGATTAGAGGCGTATGCCACAGCGCCTGGCCTAGATCTTTATTTTTGTTTAATAGTAGAGATATGTCTTTATACTGATTGAGGAGTCATGAATTTTAGGACAAATTAGTTTTAACTTTTTCATTTAGCTTGATAATTCCCTCAATTTACCTTCAGAGGTGCATTTTTCACATATTTCCCATTTTACAGGTTAATGCTTTTGATTGTCTAGTAAAATTTCATTGTAATCCTTTGGGCCACTTAGGTTGTCTTATAAACTTGGCCTCCACGTTAGTATATTTCTCTCTGGGTTAGTTTCCTTGCCTTTTTAAAAAAGGTCTACAGTTCAGCTCAAATCACCTGCCATCATTTTTCTGAAAGTGAGCCTAACTCCTCTTCACCTTAATTCCCCTTCCCAGTCACCCTTACTTTCACTCCAGTAAAATTTACTTCACCATTTCTAATTTAATTAACTCTTGTTAGATAGCCTTGGTCAAAACATTTTACATTGTAATCTATTTACTTATGTGTGTACCCAGTTAAGCTTCACTCTTTCAAGTTTACTTTTTCAAAGAATCATTTAAAAAAGGTTTTTGTTTTTTCCCCACTTAAACCTGAAAATAAATATAAAGCTGGGAGCTCTCTATAAATAGTAATCCAAGTGTCACTGAACTGAAGGACAAGAAGATCTATGCATTTATCCATTAGTTTTTTAGGTTTTTACTTATGTAGAACACCAGGACAATTTCCTGGATATTGTTTTACAAATTGTGTTAATTCTTCTCAGATATATAAAAATGTATGTGCATATTTTTGTAGTGCTGGGGATTGAACCCAAGGCTTCATGAATGCAAGGCAAGCACTGTAAGGCTGGCTGAGCCACTAGCTCAGCTCCCCTCTCACATTTTAGTACTCAGAAAAAGGAAATTACAGATAAAAAAATAAAGACACTCCCTATTTTGTGTTTAGACTCGCACACGCTCAATCGCTGTTTATGGGCAGTATGGGGGCCAACCTTGTGCCGGAAGTGCTTTTGAAACACGGTCATGTGAACCTACACTGGGGTGTCCTACAGAAGAGGGCTGTGGAGAACGTTTCAGGTGTTTTTCAGGTAATTTGTTTTTCATAGGGTCAGACCACAAATTGAAATGCTATTTGTTTTACTTGCTCAATATTTGTTTGTTGATTTTTACTGAATTTATGTTGGCTGATAAATTCATTTCCCCCAAATATCAGAAAGATTTTTGTGATATATTAATCACACTTTCAGCTCTCATTCCTCCAAAGGCAAGGGAGGCATCTGGTAATAAATGTGGGAATATTATTTGAAGAGGATTATGCCTATTAATGGGCCTAAACCGTTCTTTTTAAAAATATTTTTATTGTTGATGGATCTTTATTTTATTTATTTATATGCAGTGCTGAGAATCGAACCCAGTGCCTCACACATGCTATGCAAGTGCTCTACCACTGAGCTACAACCCCAGTCCCCAAACAGTTCTTAACATTGCATTTTTGTTAAAGAGGCAGAGGGGGTATGGTATATACATGAGATTGAGCAAAAGTGATGTTCCTGCACATATAATTATGTTTACAAGAAAAGTATCTCTAAGTAGCCAACCAAGGAATGATATGGCTCACACCATGCATGGTGTGTTAGAAACATAGTTTTGGCATTGAATATTATTTGACTTATTGTCTCTGTTGCATTCATGCAATTAGATTAATTCTATAACTTTTAATAAAAATGTACTACTCTTTTAATAATCCAAATATGGTGATGGGGGTATGGATATAGAAATGAAACACATAGCTTCTTCTCAAAAGTATTAAATTTTCAGGGTCAGGATAGTATATAAAGAATCCCTGTGTTAGAAAATTCTCTTTTGGTTTCAAAATCCAAACCAAATGATAGCTGCTTTGGGAAGTATTCCCTAAACCTTCAACTGGTGGACATAATTAACAAATCACTTGTGTGTTCCCTATGAATCTCATACTATCTGTAATATGGATTATTTGTTGGTCTGGATATTTCTTTGGTAGACTCTGAACTCCTTGAAGATACAGATGGTATTTCTTTTGTTTTGGCACCCGGGGTGCCTAGTATATAGCATGCTCTCTCTCTCTCTCTCTCTTTTTGAATTGCGAACTTTTTTTATTATTAGTTGTTCAAAACATTACATAGTTCTTGACATATCATATTTCATACATTTGATTCAAGTGGGTTATGAACTCCCATTTTTACCCCGTATACAGATTGCAGAATCACATCGGCTACACATCCACGTTTTTACATATTGCCATACTAGTGTCTGTTGTATTCTGTTGCCTTTCCTATCCTCTACTATCCCCCCTCCCCTTACAGCATGCTCTCAATGAATGTCTGCTGCATTGAATTGAGTGACAGGAGAGTGGAATATATGCTACTCTATGAGGACACTTGTTCACAAAGCATCCAATGAGGACACAGGAAAACCACACATCGTAATTTGTGGGATAGGAATAGTGTTAAGAAGGGAAATGTATTTAACTTGATTCTTGAAGGATAAGAAAATCCTCCCAGGCAGAGAAAAAGGTAAGTGTAGGATTATTGGAGATGAGAGGAAACATGGCTTTTTATTCATGCAAATGGCCCAGTATGACTAGGACACAGAGAAGTATTAGAGAATGGGTAGAAATGATGCAGGGGCTCCATCATTTGGTACCTCCAGTGCTTTCTTAGTATCCTGGGCTTATAGCTATCATTACAATTATGCTGCTGAACTGTAGTGATTTATGTCGGTATAGCCTTCCTTATTAGAATTTAAAGCTTTTTAACAGTCTGACAAACACCATTTTTATTCACTTTTATACTCCAATGCCAGGAAAAGGGTTTTACACACTGTAGATGCTAAAGATTATAATTTGAAATCACCAAGAAATACACAAATTTGGCATCTTGGTTAATAGGTTCAGAAAAGAGATCAAAAGTTGAAGGGCAGAGTGTCAATCTACCTTCTAAGTAATTAGATTTGTATGAATTTTGGAGGATTTAGACAAAACTGCTTGCTTATTACGTGTGAGAACTAAGAATTTTGAGTTCAGGTCCTATTTTTAATTTTTTGTATGGCAAAATGAAAAGTAATTATACAGGAAGTAATTCAGTGTTCTGCAACATGGAGACCAAAACTATCACTAGTCCTTTGCTAGCCAATCTGAGCATTTATCTGAAATTCATATTAATACAGTATTGGGGGTGATTCAGATAGTGTTGCCTCTTTTCCCTCTTTTGAATATGCATGGGAGCTTCTTTTTTTGTTCAGGACAATGTATCAGCAAATCATTGGTTTGCAATGGGGATTCTGATTGTGAAGAGGATGGCGCTGATGAAGACAGATGTGAGAACTCAGAAAGCAGAACTTCGTGTGACACTGATAAACCTCCTCCCAACATAGAACTTACTGGTAATGGGTAAGGTGCTGAGAAGTCTTCTGAGTATATCAAGGGTTGCAGCTTTTAATTTCATGGTCTGGTGGGTCTACTCACAAATCATCAAATAACCAAATCTTTTCATTGGCTCAAAGTTCTTTGCCACATTCTGAAACAATTTTAAAATTCATGTCTGTATATCTATAGATACAAGTAGCAAGATACAGAGTGACCTGTTGTTTTGAGACTGTCCTGGTTTTAGAACTATAGCTTCTGCAACTAGGGGAACCTCTCAGTCTTATGGAAATCTGGACATTTGGTCACCCTATAGGAGTTAGAGCCGGAAGAAGGAGAGAATCAATTCAGTCATGGGGGTTTGTACTCAAGAGAATGAAGAGACATCAGAATGAGAGTAGGGAGAGAAGAGAGGTATGTTACAGTAAATACCCAGACTGAAAAGAGACTGGGAACCTAGCTTTCCAAGAGAACTTAGGACAATCCTATGTTTACCCTTTAAAAAAGAATTCTGTACAACTTTTGGAAGCTATCTTACTTGAGTTAAGGTTTTCAGGTTTTTCTCTATTTTAGCATATAGATATGATTTCCTGCAATATTTTAAAATTGATTAACAGAGGAATAGGATAAAGTTAGTTTAAGACATATACTATTCAGCATAGTAAGAGACAATCACTTGAAAATTCACTGTAGAAAGCTCTTTCTCCTCCAGACTAAACTTAATAGTATTGGTTTTATCTATAGATCCAATTCAAAACTAGCTGTTGCCATAGATAGGCTTGTGTATTTCCCAACTATGTTCTTAGATTTAAAAAAGCTGGGTTTTCTCAGCTATTAGCGTTGGCCATTATAGTAAGCAGGAGAAGTTGGATAATGCATGGTGTGCATTAGGATGCTGTTCTCTTTATTTGCACTCTCTCAAAGAAGTGCTTAATCATAAAGTATTATACAAATTTCTAGAGTTCTCTAATGATGTTTTTTTCATCAAGTACTATTCCTGTTTTTTTAAGTGCCTTTTCTTGCCTCCTTGTTCTCTAACTCCTCTACCTCTTTCCTCTCTTCCTTTTCGACTGTTTTTCTTTTGACAGTTACAATGCACTCACTGGTCAGTTGAGGAATGGAGTCATTAACACCAAAAGCTTTGGTGGTCAATGCAGAAAAGTGTTCGGTGGGGATGAAAGAGATTTCTATAGGCTGAGTGGAAATATCCTCTCCTATACATTTCAGGTACTTAATTATGTCACTTTTATTGATTTCTAATCTGTGAACTGTCAGAGATCATTTTTTTTTTATGTGAAACTAACTTTTTAGTATTTGCTGAAGATTTAGTTATGGTCCGTTATATGGACAATGTTTTTCCTTTGTAAAACAATTTAGGTTTTTTTCCTTTTCATATTTATATTGGTGAATTATAGTTACACATAATGGTAGGATTTATGGTTATATTCATATTGTAGTCAATTTTTATAAATGTTTTATGTGGGTTTAAAAAGAATCCCTATTGTTTAACTCTTGGTTACAGGGCAGTAATACTTCTAATTTGTATCATTCAAGCTGACATTATTTTTGTTGTTGATTTTATGATGCTGGAAATCAAACCCAGAGCCTTGCATGTTCTAGGAAAGAAGCTGACATGTCCATATGCATAATTTCAACTTCTCAGCCTATGTGGGCTAAGGTCCTGATTGCCTATCCCTGTGTGAGTGTTAAACCTAGGGTCTTGGCACAAATAGTTTGATAATCTCCTTCTACTGCCATAGTGACAACTCATTTAAAAAAGCTTTCATTTTTAAATTTTGAAATATTTTATATATGCAGAATGTGCAATTTGACGAACAAATTGCAAATACACATACATACCCATCCTCCACCATAATGTGTTCAAAATGATGGTTTTGAGATTTAATCGTGCTGATGCAGATGGCATTTTTTTTTCTGTCTTCAATTTTCTCTTGTGAAAATGCCTTGAACACTCTTGTGCATGAGTCCTGCACAAATGAACTCAAGTTTCTTTAGGGCATATGCTTGGAACTCAAATAGCTGCTTTATAACTAGATATGTACATACTAAGTTTTACTGGCTAAAGTTTCTAAAATGGCTGTATCCGTTTCCCAGTGTGGAAGAGTGTCAGCTCATTGTCCTTGACGATGTTGGTGTTGCCTGATTTTTTTTTAGCTCTGCTTAATACCTAGGGGTCTCCTTTGGTTCCTCACTTCTGCTTTTTGAATGCTTTTTCTGTCATGTGCATTTAGACTCTTTGTGTTCTTTTATATCAACACAAAATCTACTCATCCAAAACAGTTATAGCTTTAGGGAATTTTCCTGAAGATTTGGAGGAAAGATATCCCGATGCAGTGGTGTAAATGCTTCAGGCTGCCTTAGTTGGCATCTTCCATCTCAAAACCTCCTTCTACAGCCTCAGAAGTTTCTGGTCATATTCTATTTTTGCCTCTTGATGTCCTCTTCCAACCTTTCCTCTCTCATTTCTTTTTTCCCTTCTTAGGAGTATTCACAAAATTTCCAGTTCAGCTCTCCTTATCTATTACCCCCAAATTTAAAAACAAAACTACTAGTTTGTTCAGACAGAAGTGCCCTGTGTTTACCCAGATTAATCTTCTCTGGAAAGCAGCTTTAATTATAAATGGAAAACTCCCCATCCTCCAACTTATGTAGAATGAGTTAGTTACACTTAAGAGTTGTTGAATACCAATACTTTTCAAGTTATTTCAGGAAATAGAAAAAGAAGGAGCTCTGCCAAATTCATTCTATGAGGCCAACATCACCCTGATTCCGAAACCAGACAAAGACACCTCAAAGAAAGAAAACTACAGACCAATATCTCTGATGAACATAGATGCAAAAATCCTCAATAAAATTCTGGCGAATCGGATACAAAGGCACATCAAAAAAATTGTGCACCATGATCAAGTAGGATTCATCCCTGGGATGCAAGGATGGTTCAATATACGGAAATCAATAAATGTTATTCACCACATCAATAGACTTAAAAATAAGAACCATATGATCATCTCAATAGACGCAGAAAAAGCATTCGACAAAGTACAGCATCCCTTTATGTTCAAAACATTAGAAAAACTAGGGATAACAGGAACTTACCTCGACATTGTAAAAGCTATCTATGCTAAGCCTCAGGCTAGCATCATTCTCAATGGAGAAAAATTGAAGGCATTCCCCCTAAAATCTGGAACAAGACAGGGATGCCCTCTATCACCACTTCTATTCAATATAGTTCTCGAAACACTGGCCAGAGCAATTAGACAGACGAAAGAAATTAAAGGCATAAAAATAGGAAAGGAAGAACTTAAATTATCACTATTTGCAGATGACATGATTCTATACCTAGAAGACCCAAAAGGGTCTACAAAAAAACTACTAGAACTAATAAATGAATTCAGCAAAGTGGCAGGATATAAAATCAACACGCATAAATCAAAGGCATTTCTGTATATCAGCGACAAAACTTCTGAAACGGAAATGAGGAAAAACACTCCATTCACAATATCCTCAAAAAAAATAAAATACTTGGGAATCAACCTAACAAAAGAGGTGAAAGATTTATATAATGAAAACTACAAAACCCTAAAAAGAGAAGTAGAAGAAGATCTTAGAAGATGGAAAAATATACCCTGTTCATGGATAGGCAGAACTAACATCATCAAAATGGCGATATTACCAAAAGTTCTCTATAGGTTTAATGCAATGCCAATCAAAATCCCAACGGCATTTCTTGTAGAAATGGATAAAGCAATCATGAAATTCATATGGAAAAATAAAAGACCCAGAATAGCAAAAGCAATTCTAAGCAGGAAGTGCGAATCAGGCGGTATAGCGATACCAGACTTAAAACTATATTACAGAGCAATAGTAACAAAAACAGCATGGTACTGGTACCAAAACAGGAGGGTGGACCAATGGTACAGAATAGAGGACACAGAGACTAATCCACAAAGCTACAACTATCTTATATTTGATAAAGGAGCTAAAAGCATGCAATGGAGGGAGGATAGCATCTTCAACAAATGGTGCTGGGAAAACTGGAAATCCATATGCAACAAAATGAAACTGAATCCCCTCCTCTCGCCATGCACAAAAGTTAACTCAAAGTGGATCAAGGAGCTAGATATCAAATCAGAGACTCTGCGTCTGATAGAAGAAAAAGTTGGCTCCGATCTACATATTGTAGGGTCGGGCTCCAAATTCCTTAATAGGACACCCATAGCACAAAAGTTGATAACAAAAATCAACAAATGGGACTTACTTAAACTGAAAAGTTTTCTCTCAGCAAGAGAAACAATAAAAGAGGTAAATAGGGAGCCTACATCATGGGAACAAATTTTTACTCCTCACACTTCAGATAGAGCCCTAATATCCAGGGTATACAAAGAACTCAAAAAATTAAACAATAAGAAAACAAATAACCCAATCAACAAATGGGCCAAAGACCTGAACAGACACTTCTCAGAGGAGGACATACAATCAATCAACAAGTACATGAAAAAATGCTCATCATCTCTAGCAGTCAGAGAAATGCAAATCAAAACCACCCTAAGATACCATCTCACTCCAGTAAGATTGGCAGCCATTATGAAGTCAAACAACAACAAGTGCTGGAGAGGATGTGGGGAAAAGGGTACTCTTGTACATTGCTGGTGGGACTGCAAACTGGTGCGGCCAATCTGGAAAACAGTATGGAGACTCCTGGGAAAGCTGGGAATGGAACCACCATTTGACCCAGCTATTGCCCTTCTTGGACTTTTCCCTGAAGACCTTAAAAGAGCGTACTACAGGGATACTGCTACATCGATGTTCATAGCAGCACAATTCACAATTGCTAGACTGTGGAACCAACCCAGATGCCCTTCAATAGATGAATGGATAAAAAAAATGTGGCATTTATACACCATGGAGTATTACGCAGCACTAAAAAATGACAAAATCATAGAATTTGCAGGGAAATGGATGGCACTAGAGCAGATTATGCTTAGTGAAGCTAGCCAATCCCTAAAAAACAAATACCAAATGTCTTCTTTGATATAATGAGAGCAACTAAGAACAGAGCAGGGAGGAAGAGCAGGAAGAAAAGATTAACATTAAACAGATACATGAGGTGGGATGGAAAGGGAGAGAAAAGGGAAATTGCATGGTAATGGAGGGAGACCTTCATTGTTATACAAAATTACATATAAGAGGTTGTGAGGGGAATGGGAAAATAAACAAGGAGAGATATGAATTACAGTAGATGGGGTAGAGAGAGAAGATGGGAGGGGAGGGAGGGGGGATGGTAGAGGATAGGAAAGGTAGCAGAATACAACAGTTACTAATAGGGCATTATGTAAAAATGTGGATGTGTAACCGATGTGATTCTGCAATCTGTATTTGGGGTAAAATTGGGAGTTCATAACCAACTTGAATCTAATGTATGAAATATGATATGTCAAGAGCTTTGTAATGTTTTGAACAACCAATAAAAAAAAATTAAAAAAAAAAGAAAGGAAAAAGGCAAAACAGAAAATGATTTAGCAGTTATGCAAGCCCTTACAAAAGATAGGAGTTTAGGAGTATGTTACTGAAATCCAAACAGGGGAGGCTATTAGAATCCAGACATGTGGGAAGAGCCTTAAGGAGGACAGAAGAGATGAGGAGTGGTTAGCAGATTTGGAGAGTATGGAGAATTGTCCTGTTGGACAATTTCCTGTTGGACAGAGGGGAGCAGGTGCTACCCCTAAGTTTGAAGGAACAGTGAGGAAGAGGAGGCTATCAATATAGAGAAGAAAGCTTTCCTTGTAGAAACCTTAAGTAGAGGCACACAGATAATCCTTAAGCCCTGGATGGAGTTCCCACAGCAACCAGACAACCACCTTGTTTTCAAAAAGTGCATTATAATTTTGATGAGTTCTATGGAAGGCAAAGACAGAGTGCCAAGATAGAGATGTCAGAGTTCTATACTGACAGCTGTGGCTCAGAGAAAACTTAAGAAGAAATATTTAAGCAGAGATATGAAAAGATGAGTATGAAATTGGTAGATGAACTGGGAGGGTCTTCCAGGCAAGGAGAATAATACTGTACAGGACCTATGTGGGAAGGAACATGAGCTATTCTAGAAGACAAAAGGCTACAACTTGAGAGAGAAAACAGAAAGTAGTCATCCCACTGGAGAGTGATGAGGTTCAAGGCTGGTACAGAGGTAGAAGGATCATAGAGCTCTG